CAAGTGTCATAGAAGAAACTGTTAGCATAGGTCTTACAGCTACATTTAGCCATTTCAACAGTAAAATGATGAGATCTTGCTGCCAGTTTAGTACTGCACTTAAATTAATAACTTCTAGGTACCATAGAGGAAAGATTTTCAGAACAATTACCATGAAAATATTTATAGAAAAGGCACAAGGAAGCTATATTATGGCAATAGGAAAGTGACTGAAGGCAAGATGCCAGGTTAGATTGCAGATTCTTCTTTGGGTTTTGTAAAATTCTCTAAATATATAGCAGGAGCACTAGACCAGATGTGGTAGCAATATTCATTGCATGGATGAATGGTAGACTTATAAATTTGCAGGAGAGGTCTTGATGAGAAAAATTTACTAGCACAACTCAGTGAACCAACAGCATACCAAACAATTAATTTGGTATCATCTTTCCATTTCATGTCAGTGGGAAATGTTAGTCCAAGAAGGCTCAACAAGTTAATCTCCTGGAGGTTAGCATCAGCCAATCTGATGGAAGACAGAAAGGAGTCTCAAAGATGACTGATAGAGAGCAGTTTCATTTGGCAAGTGTTAAAATTAACAAACCATTCCTTTTCCTAGTAAACAGTGGATAGTAGGTCATTTTTGAGATCAGCTGCCAATTTGACCTTATTGGACTGATCAGACTTATTATTAAGACAAGAGTAAGTAGTTGTATCATTAGTATAGATACCAAGTTGAGAACTGATACCTAATATTATTTCATTCTACACTATCAAAATGCTTACTTACATCAAGCTTTATACGGATTGTAATGCCCTTGCAAACTCGGGCTTCTTTTTGATATCTCAGGACACATCTTGAAATGGTTGCACAAAATAAATTAAAGCATTGTTACAAGTACCACTCCATCTTCTATGTACTATGTCCCTTCAGGATGTTGGCGATCATGGCTCTCCATAAGTTCCTGTCCTTTGTAGTTCTTAATAATGTTTGTGTTTTTGTTCTCTCTTCATTTATACAAGCTTGCTAGGTTGATTATGCATTGTTTTCCTCTTTCCCTCTTGCTTTTAATTTGTCCTGTGAGTATCAAATTTTTCAAGCCCTCTTTCCTTATGTGCCCTAGAAAATTTCCCCTCTTTCTTATGTGTCTTTTTTGTCTCCATTTTCTCTAAAACCTCATTGTTGCTCACTTGTTAGGTCAATGGTATTCTCAACATCCTTCTGTAGAACCAGATTTCTGATGCTTCAAGTTATTTTTTAATCTATGAGGAGATTGTCCAGCATTCACTGCTATATAAGACTGATATTATGTAACAGTTCAATACTCTTTTCTTTGTTTTTAACAAAATTTTCTTGTTTGTTAATACTTTGCTTAGCTTTTGTTACACATGTTTTGCTATTTCTATGTCACTTTCCATCCTCTGTGTTAAAACACTTCCCAGATATTTAAGTTGTTGTGCTTACTTGATTTTGACCATCTCCAATTTGTAATTTGAATCTTGGGTTGTTCCATTTGCTGACAACCATGCATTCTATCTACTAGTAATTGATGTTTAATCCTTTCTTTTCGCTTTCCTTCTGTAGGAGTTTCTTTTGTAGTTTCAGCAACTTTGTACAGAGTGGTCTGAAAGTATTGTCACCCACACCACCAAAAATTAATGATGCTGGAGTAAGGGAGGCACGGTTGAGTAATGGATATTGGCTCGGATTGAGGAATCGGAGAGCTGATTTCGAATTCCTGTCTAATCCATTACATTCATATAAATACTAATACCCTTGGGAAACGTATGAATCCTCCTCTTCTCCCCCGCCAGCTATGGGTAAATAGCAGGACAGACCAGCTTCTATAGCCTTGGATGGCAACTGGTCTACCACAGAAAGAAATGGCAACCTACTACGGGAAAAATATCTGCCTCGTCAGTCATGTATCGAAAGATACATGATCGCTTAAGTGTGTATCAAGCATGGCACATGACTGACTGAATACTGTAATACAAGGTAAATGTACTGGATTCAGTTTATTCACTTTCATTGATGCTGTCACATATTGTGAAGGTCTGTATGAACACCATTTTTGTGTCAGCCATTTGAAATAGAAAATCATATTATGTAGGGGGTGATATGACTTTAGGATTACTCTGTAGTTTGACTAAAATCATCAGCAACAGTATTTTGTACACATACATAATGAGTGTAAAGAAATGAATGAATGAATTTCAACAAGGTGATATTTTTTTATACAACTGAGTAAAAAGAGAAAAAATACACTAGTGTACAGGTGAAAGAAAGATGTTACAAGTTAGGAATTATGTTGGTGAATCACTGTGTGTGTGTGAAAAAGCTCAGTCACTTTGAGGAAAGATATCCCCATACCCAAGAACAAGGTTCCAGTGGTGTTACTCAGCATGCAGAGAGAAAAAAAATGTGGATGAGGACAGGAAATGTCCCGTTTTTTATAGGTGCCTTTCAACGACTTCTTGTTGAAACTGGAAAAGCTATGTGGGGATAATTCGCAGCCGAGAGCAATGGTTCCCAAATGGTGTGACATGCCTCGTCGGCACTGCAAAAGAGGTTAGCAGGTGAGGTGGAATGATTGAAAGACAAAGATTTAGAAATGGTTTTAAAAATTCATATGCCAAAAATAAATATGATTTCAAAATTTAAAATATTCTTATGGATCACTTGTAATTGCATGCATGAGACCCAGTATAAATAGTTATAAATAATTATTGACCAGTTTTATCAGTGTTATTTTTGCATTAATTCAAGTAAAAAGAATATCGTATCTAGAGTCTGCAAATTAGAGGAGAGAGTTATCAATGATAATGTTATGACTTTGAATTCATGATTAACCCTCTCTCTGGACCTTCTTTACTGTAGGGCTATTTGCGCCTTTTCACCAGCATTTCCCTTTAGTGAAGTGCCAGCAAATTTTCATTCTGAAAATGCAGCCCCAGAGGAATAAAGTTTGGAAACTACTGGCATAGAAGATTTGAGATACTGTTCAAAGCTATAGTAGCTTGATGTTGAATGAATTTTTTGAGGGAAGGAGTTTAATGGTAGCACTGTTATTGTAGAGTGTGCATACAACTTCTATAGCAATTACCAATGCAAAGGCAGAACATAATTTGGATTATTTCATTGAGTAAAAACTGGTAGCGCAGGTCTCTTGTAAAAGCAGTGTTGTGTAAAGTGACCTTCCCAAAAGTGGGTGATACCTAAATATGATATTAGAAGTAAAGAGAGACAAATTAACAAAGTAAGCTACAAACAAGAGATAAGACATAATTTGACATTATATTGGAATCAAATCCATGCGTATTTTACTTTTGTAAATAATAAAACTAGTATGACTTCATTGTTCTTAATCATGCTTATAACAATAGTGTCACATAGCATCATTAATTTGTCTTTCTCAGTAAAAGAATGCATTAATTTTCATGGCAAGTGCGTTTAGTTATAAGTTATGAAATGTTTTAGTCATTGTAATACAATGAACATTTTATTTTTAGATGCTCTGTATGTATAAGTAAGTAAACTAATTTGAGTTACTGGATGCCATAACAAAGACAAACAGGTATGGTAAATGAGCAAAAGTTTCTTAGAGTAACAAAAACAAGGTCATTGTGGAGAGCCATGATTTAACACTGCAAGAGAAGTAGGAAAAACAGAGTAACCTACTTAATGAGTATGAGTGAATAGATGCCAGAAAAAGAACAAACATGGGTAATAAGTGTGCAAAAGTTACTTTGAGCAACAAAAGACAGGAAGTTGTGGTGAGCCATGATTTAACTCATGAGACTTAATGAAGTCAAGAGAAGTGGGAGAAAGTGTAACCTACCTAACAAGTATGAGTGAATGGATACCAGAAAAAGGACAAATAGGCATGGTAAATGGGCAAAAGTTACTTAGAGTAACAAAAATATGGTAGGTGTGGAGAGCCATAATTCACAAGACATAATGAAGGTAAGAGAAAACAGAGTAACCTACTTAAGGAGTTTGAAAGCATGAATTCCAGAAAAAGGACAAACAGGGATAGTAAATGAGCATAAGTTACTTTGAGCATCAAAAGACAGGAAGTTGTGGAGAGCCATGATTTCCTATATCCTGAAAGGTCATGGTACATAAAAAAAAAAAAAATAATGCAACACAGAAAATGAACAATATTTCTGCTGCATGCCCTGGTGCAAATGGGTGGATTAATAGAATTGGGGAAATGAGTTCAAACATTGACTAGGTCAATTTGTGCTAACTTCACGAACTTATGTCATTGGGAATCCACTTGTTTCTACAATTATTGGTAAAATCCCAGCTAACACTGAATATTTCTGCAAAATTGCAGATATGTATTTTAGTTTTTCTGACCCCAAACTGACCACTCATCCCCAACATTTTCACAACCTTATGGTAATATTGGTGTATTATAGCTGAAAAATTGTTCCCTAGTCAAATAACATCATATTTCTTCATATAACAATATGTATAAAAGGTATCAAATTTCTTTTCAATTTTTTAAATTGAGAATCATTAATTTATTATCCATTTTCTCTTAGTGTTAAAGGCAACCTATTTGCAACAAGATAACATTACAGGCATATTATGGACAGTCTACAAAATACTTATGCAATATTGCAGAAATGTTAAAGCAATGTCATTTTGTTAGCTGGGATAGCAAGGCAGAGAATTTAGCCTTATAAAAAGAATCCATCTTGGATATTTGATTACACATCAGACCTGAGATTGTTCCTTGCTGCAACTACCATATAACTTCATATAATCTATCTCGTGTTATTTTGACAGGAGATAGGTATTGACACTTATTTATTTTGCTTATCAACTTGGCAATAGCACTTATTTATTTTTATAGATATTTTCCTAGAACGAATTTCAACTTAAAGAAAATGATTTAGAATTAAATAATTGATTTGATACAGATTCTAAAAATTGGATTTTGTAAAGATAAAAATTTCAACTGCCCACTATTTTATCACTCCACAATAAAAATCTTACAGCCGCATCATGTTGAAACACTAGTTCCCATACGATCACTGAAGTTAAACAACATTGTATCTGGTCAGTACCTAGATGGGTGACTGCTACAGAATACCAAGTGCTGTAAGTTTGGATGTGTCAGTGGTGTAATGGAATATGGCTCAGAATTGTTAATCAGAGTGCTGGGTTCCAATTCCAGTTTGATTTGTTATATTCACTTATGTGCAAATACTCTTGGGAAAGGTATGAATGCACCTTTTCTCTCCCCATTTATGGATTAATTAGTAAGACTTTTTTTACTAAACCATTATTATCTCCCCCCACCAAATGTTCTTATAATCTAAAAATATTTTCTGTCTTAAATAACCAGCAAAAGGTTGATAAGCCATAGAAGACAAATCGATCAATCACTTTATGATAAGCCACACTCTGAAAAACTCCCTACATTTGAAGTTGGAGTTGATCCTTGTCAAAGAACTGGGAATTGAGTAAAAATGCACAGTGCATCATGTTCAATATGAATATCTAAAGTCAATGAGATGAGAAATAAGTAATTCGCAATTCTCTTCAGAATGCACCACAAGAAATACTAACAGAAGTACTTAAAGTTTTTATTGGAGCTAGAAATTAATATAATGCACACAATGACTAGATTAAAGGAGGGTAAAAATGAGGATAAGAAATCCACATCTATCAATAATATATTGGCAGGAATACTTATGCTATAAACAGGTCACAAGGAAGGCTGTCTTGATTTAATAAAAATTGCCTCAAGAAATTTCAGATGAAAATCAGAATGTGATCTACTCAACACAAGAAAAATATCTCCTCATGGTACATTGATATATAACCTCATTGCTGATTATTAATGCTCAGAAATTGCAGACCCAAATGTAATGGAACACTGATGTAAAGTTTCAAGATGATCTTTCCACAGTATTTTAATTCCTTGATTAAACTCTGATGAAAGAGGAACACAATGTGAAATGAAAAAAAATAAAAATAATCTAAAATGGAAAAAAAAATTTGAAAACCAGAAGCTGATGTTGTGTATTTGGTGGGATTGGAAGAACATTGCATATTACAAATTCCTTCTGCAAAACGAAATGAATTCTGTTGGGCTGATTAAAGGCAGCAATTGATGAAAAGCATCTGGAATAAGCCAATCAGGAGAGTGTTGTCATTTATCAGGACAACACCATACCTCATGTCTCTTTGTAGACCTAGCAGAAATGGGTAAGGCTTGGCTGGAATGTCCTAATACATTTGCCAAACTCACCTGACCTTTTACCTTTGTGCTATATAGGAATAAAGTGTCACTGCTGACACTGGAGTTTGAACATAGGTCGCCACTTAGCAAACACAGGCGATCACATTATTGAATTAAGTGGATCACATGACCATAGGGTAAACGTATAATTAGAAAGTAGTGTGACATCTAAACGATCACTATTTCTACTCTATCCTCTATTAATATACAGACTGCTATTCTCTACTCTACTCGCTATACTATTTTTCTATATAAATTACTATATGGTAGTTACTATTTGAGCAAGTACTATTAGTGTGAGTGCTATTCAAAGGTGTCTGACACCAGCATTGTTCAATGGAGTACTATAATTGTATCTGTGATTACAAAGTCTCTATTACAATGAGCATTACGAAAGTGACAACGAGTATTCATTAGCATTACAAAAGTGGTAACAAGTGTTCGCTGACATTACAAAACTTTGGATTACCGCTTATTTTGATCCCAACAAAATTGTCTTAATGTGAGGAACTTTAATTCTCTAGAAACCTGCAAAATTACTTAGCTCCTAGAAAGATGCCAAGTTCTCATAGGATGGAATCATGAAGCTAACTCAAAATAAAATACGGTGGAATAAATTGGCATACATGTGGGTGAATAAATCTATAGACAAATATCTAAACATTGTCTTTGAAATTTACTTAAAAAAATGCTATGAACCTTTTAAAATTTCTTTTTATTAACTAAATGCATTTAACTCTTATGGCAACAGTTTTATAAATTTCATCAGATTTTCCAAATTTCACATTATATTCAAGGAAAGTTTATTAAAAATAATAGTGAATGTGCACATAGTCTATGAAAAAAATATCTTTGAACAAAAAGTTCAACTTTCTTTGTAAATTGCCATCTGCCAAGGTAAACCATCTTCTTCACAATACTCCACAAGTTTTCAATCAGGCTAAAGTCAGTGAATAAAGCTGGCCACAATATCAATATGGAATATATGCTCAATTTTTTTAAAAACTAGAAGATTATGCAATAATTTTGTGAGGTGTTATATTTGTTCATATGAACCACACTGTACAGCATCCAGTATCACATTCAAGAGTTAAATTTTTGCTTGTAAATTTCCATCCACCAATGTAAACCATTCTCTTCAGAATGTACCAGAAGCTTTCAATCAGGTTAGGGTCAGTGAGACCAATTTTATTCAGATATTCATGCATTTTCTTTGCCAAATGGGATGGAGCATTGTTGTGCATAAAATCATCTTTGTAAAACTATTGGGTTCATCTTGAACCATGACTTTATATATCTTCAAAAAAAATATATCAATGTATATCTGAACTGTCACTGTAACACCTACTGGAACTCACCATGAGCCCACTACTTCACTACCTATAATCCGATCCTAAAGCAACATACCAACTCCACTTCTCTAATTAAAGTGAGACAAATAATTGGGATGCCAACTGACAAAGTGTCTATCAGGCCAGTGTGGATTTTTATTCATTATGGATTTTTTTTACTCACCACAGAGAGAATTGGAAAGCATCCCTATATATAAAGATACTATTTTCAATGTTACACAGGTTACTGACATTGGTATCATATATGTGGCTCATGTAACTGGGAATGAGCCAAAATGGTTGGTATGTTAGCCAAAATTTCTTTTCTCCATCAATCTATGAAGAAAAGAGACTCCCATTTAATTTCCATATGAATTGTTCATCTGAGAAAGATGAGTTGGGCCAGCTAAAATCTAGCAACAACAAAGAATTAGTTCAACCAACTTGTGAGATAAAAAGGTTTAAAGGCTTGGAAAGTAATATTGTATTTTCAAGACAGCAGTGAAAATAGATGCAAATATAATTAAAACTAATTTTTTTAAGGAACATTAACCAATTTCATTTGTAACTGTAGTAGACCAAGAGAAAGGCAATTTTCCAATATCACACTGATAAAAATTAAGGTTGGAAAGCAATCTTTATTTGTGAATACCTCGGAAAATCTTCTGATTGAAACAAATGATAATTCAAATTATTAAGTCTGTTGAATATGGAGAGTAAGATAAAAGTTACCAGTCTCATAATTTTATTCTTTTGTGACTCAACAAACAATCATTGCTACTTGTGTAATCTCGACAAATACTCATTGTCACTTTTGTAATGCTTGTTGTAGTAGAGACTTTGTAATCACAGATACATAGTAACACCGTTGAACAATACTAGTATCAGACACCTTCAAATAATCTTGCACTATAATACTTGCTCAATAATACTCACTTGGAAAGTAACCTCCTAATAGTAATCTGTATAGTGATCAGTATAGAGAATAGTGTAGAGAAGAGAATAGCGATCTGTATAGTAATAGAGAATAGACTAGAAATGACGATCAATTAGATGTCACGCTACTTTCTATTTGTGTTTTCCTCTATGGTCAACTGATCTACTTAATTCAATAATGGGATCACTTGTGTTTGCTGTCTGGTGATCTATGTTCAAACTCAAGTGTTGGCAGTGACACTTTATTCCTATATAATGTATTCCCACCTGAGAGGGATGGGCTCCACCAGATCTACTTTGCCCAAGACATACTAAGCATACCTACTGAGACATGTGAAGGAAACTGATCAAATGCACAGCTATGTAGTGAACCTATGACAAGACCTTGTTATAGGACTTATAATGACCATGAAGGGTTCATTATAACAAGAAGGAATGCTGATACAATTTTCTAAATCTGACCAAATGACAGATTTTCATTTCAGCTGGGCTGAGAACTTTTCAGCACCGTGTCATACTTTCTGTACACATAAGTTGGTTCACTGTGTTGTGCCAGACAATTTTTCTTGCTAGAATCCATCTTGCGCATTTATAAATTTATTATTCATTGAATACTGCCTCCATATCTTGTCTGTTACTTCAGCTATATATATATCAAAAAAAAAAAAATCCAAAGAAAAGTCAGTACTGTTATCAATCCTGACCTGGCATTTTGAATTCAGTCACTTTCCTACTGCCATGATCTGTCTTCCCTCTGCCTTTTCTATAAATATTTTCATAGCAACTGTTCTAAAGAGCTCTCTTCTTTGGTACCTCAACTGTGTGAATTTAAGCATACTACTAGATCAGCATGGTGGATTAATGGATAGCGGCTCGGACTGAGGAATTGGACAGATCAGATTCTATAGCCTTGGATGGCAACTGGTCTATCGCAGAAAGAAATGGTAACCTACTGCGGGAAAAAAAAATCTGCTTCAGTCTTGTATCGAAAGATACATGATCACCTAAGCGTGTATCACGCATGGCACATAACTGACTGATATTCACTTGCATGTGTTACGAGGATGCATTTCTATAACAAGAAAGTTTCAATAAGGTTAAAATTTACAGTAAGGGATTCTACTGAGTCCTACTTGTTAATACAAAAAAAATTTTCTTTCATGAAGTAGTTGTAAAATAGAGAAATTTGAAATAGAACGTTTGGAAGATTCTAGATCATTTCATTATATTCGAGAAAAATCTAGATATATGCAAATTAGGTGTTAGCCCCTATAAAAATGGGATTTTGGAAAAGGGTTGTCAGTTGATGAAGGGAAATTTCTGCTGTTATCAACTCCAGCTTTTGATTCGAGGACTGTTATATCCAGCTGAAAGAATCTCTATAAAAAGTTGCCGACCAACAAAAAACCCAAAAGAGAATTTCATAGAACAAATTTGGTAAATAGAATTTTGACTAATTTTTCATTGACCAAACTAAAAATTAATATTTATTTACACATCTTTGTGGATTTCCAAATATAGCACTTAGATTACTTCGCTAGCCCTAAAGTGATAAAGATATTTGACTCCCTTTCCTTCTCCTTCGCCAGTAACTCTATGTTTTCTGTTTTGTAGGCCACAATTGATTATTTTGTTTTTGTATATATTTTATGTTGTTTTTTAGTAAATTAAATATTTGTTTGTGATTTAGTTCTGTGTTGTGGTAAATCATTTCTTTTTCCTTTGTTACAATTATCAACACGTAACACATGCTAATACCCTTGGGAAAGGTATGAATCTTCTTCTCCCACCAGCTATGGGTTAATAGCAGGACAGACTGGGTTCTATAGCCTTGGATGGAACCTGGTCTACTGCAGAAAGAAATGGCAACCTGCTGCAGGAAAAAAAAAACTGCCTTGTCAGTCATATATCGAAAGATACATGATTGCCTAAGCATGTATTATGCATGGTACATTTACTGTTGAAATAGCTAGAACTAACCATAAGTTTTATTTTAATAGTTTTTTTCTTGCACTTGTCTGTCATTTATGATATTCAAAATTTTAAATGAAACATCAATCATGTTCTGCCTTGAATTCTGTTCTTTTATTGTACTTTTTCCTCACAAAAGTTTTCTATTCCATCACCTGTAACACCTTGAACTTACTAGCATTATTACCTTGAAGGGAAATGATTAAAAAAACAAAAAAAAATAACCTGTAATAATTTCTGGATAATAAAGGTATGTGGTAATGGTTTGTCCAGGATCCAGTAACTCATACTGTTGGATAATTCTCTCTGTTCAATCACATAAAAACAGACATATTAAAAAAGACTGGAGGAAATTGGACAAAAGAAAATACAGTGAATGGCAGTATGAGGAAGAAAACAAAATATTACAAACTACTAATCGGTAGTGACCTGGATAATTTTTCATCATTTTTTTTTTCAATTTGGCCCCTATCAATGACTACGAGCCTAGTGTAACTTCACTCTTCCAGATCAAATCTTCCATTTCTTAATATAATGAACTACTTATGAATTATATTTTCAGTTATAGCTGTAAATGGCACTTATCAATTTTACTGTTTGTACATATTTTATCCTTTCCAGAAATAAAAGTGCTTCTATGTGTCGCATCCTTTCAGAACATGAATGATCATGGATCTCCAAAACTTCCTATCCTTTATGGGCCCCTTTCCATCATCCATTCACACAAGCTTCTTTTCAAATAGGTGGCTTAGTGCCCTCAATATGTCCTTGTTGCCATTTTCTTCAAGACTTTCATTGCTTACTCATGCCATGAAGTTGTCAGTATATTTCTATTTCCTTCAGTTTTCTCTTCATCTGTAGGGAGATTGTCCAGTATTCACTGTTATGGGGGTATGTCACCATTTTCTTTTGTACATCCAGATAAACATAACTTTTTGAGTGCCATGCATGTTTCAGTTCCAGGTGGGACTCAGTCGAAGATGGTAAGCATTCATAACAATCAATCGCCCCCCCCACACCAAATTCGAGAAAATGTGGCAAGAAATTTGTGAATAGATGCCTAACAATTAATGTTCGTAGGCCATGAATTTGTCTATTGAAAAGGCAATTCGTATCACTCTATTTGCATATACAACGTCTCTTTTCCTCCTCGCAAAGCTTTTGATACACGACAAAGTCACTGCTGTTCAAATGCTGTGAATGTATGTGTTCCAGTTTTTTTTATCCTACACATTCTGCAAACAAGCTCTGCTTTTTTGAGCTATTCAAGTACAGGTGGGCTCATACCTGTAACATCGAATTCAGGAATCAGCCTCAGATCAAACAGTTTGTCTGTCATATTGTAAATGCCAAAATAGCTTGTATAATAAAAGTCCACAAAGTCCAAATCTCCATTCACACACATGCAGTCTCCTTGCAAACACCTGTTTGGTAGGAAAGGTCAGTTGCTTTTAGTTTTATAGTAGTCTGGTGGACCCTTTCCAGGTTTTCTATTGAAATGAATTAGCATATTTTACTATGCAATCCATTCCACTCTGTAAAACTTGAACTACAATTGGTTAGCAAAAGCTAATTTGCATGCTCTTGCTGACCTCATGCAGTGGTGAAGCATTTTTTTTTCCCTCTTTCTTTCTGCAAAAGCAGCATGCAACACAAAAGTGGTTTGGCCTCTGGGGGTATGTCACCATTTTTTTTCTGTACAGTGTTTGAAATTGAAATTTTTAACATTGAATATTAAATTCTCAAAAATTAAATTCTCTTAAATTCTCAAAATGCTTGTCAGAAATGAACTCTTAGAATGGATAATTGGAAAATGTTCAGATGATTTCAATTGGTCTTTTCTTTTCACGTCTGAATAATCAAGGCCCAAAAAATTGAAGTATTTATAATTAAAGAAGTACTGTCATAAACATTCTTTCCCAAAAGTGGTCAGCTAGAGAAGAATACTATAAGATGCTTTTTCTTCATTCTTGCACAATAAAGATCTGTCCATTCTGTTTGCAGTGAAAGAAACTACAGTGGTTATTTCAAGTCAAGCCAAGGGAAAGAACTGTAATATTTACTGCGGTGCAATTTCTATCCTCTTTAACAAACAAATGAAATAAAAAAGGTTTTCACCACCCCAAGGAAATTATTGTAATATTACGAAACTGAATTATCTGCACTTGACTCACTTATACACCTGTCACAGGGTATGAACTGTGTCACATGATTGTCTGGTACAAAAATTGCCTCACCAATTAGAGCAAGTTCATTAGAATGACTGCTCATCTACTCCAGACCTCCATTTCCTTCACCAATCATAACCCAGTTACATTACTGATACAATGTAGGACCAAATTGACTCTCAAGTAAGACTTTAATTCACTTTACTTTGTAATATGTATTCAGTTTTCAGCACGAACAAACTATTGTTCTATTCAGGTTCTGTAAATATGTAGACAGTCTTTCCTATGAAATGTATATACATGTCTTTGTCTGTTATCACCTATGAACAAAGTGTTATCATATGATGGGTATGATAATACTTATATTGGGTTGGTTGGATAAATTTATCTCTACCAGCCATTCCAGTAATTGGGGATTCCCGATGTAATAAGCATTTTATCTTGTTACAAGTTTATCTATTACTGTGTGACTTCCCCTCCTTCAGTATTCTTTTTACTGAATTTTGACGATTTTCTCATTTTCTATTTGCTTGTTTAGCAAGTTTTTTTTTTTTTTATCGGAATACTCTCTGCTAGATATCTTGAAGTAATTGATGAGGTGACTTTATTTAATAATTGGTGTTATTCTACATGGGCTACATAACACGAAGAACTTGTTATAAGTGAGAGTGTCCAAAAAATATTAAAAAAATGTAAAAAAAAAAAAATAACAATATACAGTACAAACAAATGAATTAAAAAAAAAAAAAAAATTCACCCTTTCCACCTCACAATTTCGCCTCCACATTCTAGCCCCTCAATCAGTGACTATTGAGGCAAAAAATAAAAAATAGATACATCATCTGGTCACCTTTCAGCATTCCAAAAGGAAATGTTTTAATGACTCTTTTTTTAAATATTTTCTTTTATTAACTCACAAAAGTTGATTAATGCATATATGGCAAAGAATACATGCAACTGGAAAGGATTCTTAATGGTATGTTGCAATAATTACTGACTTGTCACATTCAATAGAAAGGTCAGATGGCAGATTGAAAAAAGACTCAGGACACTTGATGGATTTAGTATTATCAAATTGTTAAACAATGTACAAAAATGTTAAGTCTGCACATGAATATCTTTCTTGCTATTGTCTTTGTAAAGTGATTAAATAATTTTACATGATTCTAAATAAAAGGAGTTTAACTTTTGAATTTTTCACTCAAAGGATCAAGCAGTCTGTTCATACTCCTTTCTACTATCATTCATTCACTTTTCTTACTACACACTTGAACTCATTCATTTTTCTCTCTGTTTCTCTCCTCTCGTTCATTTTCCCCTGTTCTCTCATTTCGTTCATTTTCCCCTGTTCTTTCACTCGTTCATTTTCCCCCTGTTCTCTCACTCGTTCATTTTCCCCCTGTTCTCTCACTCGTTCATTTTCCCCCTGTTCTCTCACTCGTTCATTTTCCCCCTGTTCTCTCACTCGTTCATTTTCCCCCTGTTCTCTCACTTTCATTTTCCCCTGTTCTCTCACTCGTTCATTTTCCCCCTCTTTCTCTCACTCGTTCATTTTCCCCTGTTCTCTCACTTCGTTCATTTTCCCCTGTTCTTTCACTCGTTCATTTCCCCTGTTCTCTCACTCGTTCATTTTCCCCTGTTCTCTCCTTTTCGTTCATTTTTCCCCTGTTCTCTCCTCGTTCATTTTCCCCCCTGTTCTTTCCTCATTTTCGTTCATTTTCCCCGTTCATTTCCCCTGTTCTTTCCTCTGAATTTCATTTTCCCCTGTTCTCTTTCCTCGTTCATTTCCCCCTGTTCTCTCACTCGTTCATTTTCCATTTCCCCTGTTCTTCTTCTCTTTTGTTTTCATTTTTCCCCTGTTTCTCACTCGTTCATTTTCCCCTGTTCTTTCCTCGTTCATTTTCTTTCCCTCGTTCATTTCCCCTGTTCTTTCACTCGTTCATTTTCCCCCTGTTCTTTCACTCGTTCATTTTCCCCCTGTTCTTTCATTTTTCCCCCTGTTCTTTCACTCGTTCATTTTCCCCCTGTTCTTTCACTCGTTCATTTTCCCCCTGTTCTTTCACTCGTTCATTTTCCCCCTGTTCTCTCACTTTCGTTCATTTTTCCCCTGTTCTCTCACTCGTTCATTTTTCCCCTGTTCTCTCTCTTTCGTTCATTTTCCCCTGTTCTCTCACTCTCGTTCATTTCCCCTTTCTCCTGTTCGTTCATTTCCCCCCTGTTCTCTCACTTTCGTTCATTTCCCCTGTTCTCTCACTCGTTCATTTTCCCCTGTTCTCTCTCCTCGTTCATTTCCCCTGTTCTCTCACTCGTTCATTTCCCCCTGTTCTCTCTCTCGTTTCATTTTCCCCTGTTCTCTCACTCGTTCATTTTTCCCCTGTTTTCTCCCCTTTTCTGTTCTCTCTTTCGTTCATTTCCCCTGTTCTCTCACTCGTTCATTTTCCCCTGTTCTCTCACTCGTTCATTTTCCCCTGTTCTCTCCTTTCGTTCATTTTCCCCCTGTTCTCTCACTTTCATTTTTCCCGTTTTTCCCCTGTTCTCTCACTCGTTCATTTTCCCCTGTTCTCTCCTTTCGTTCATTTTTCCCCTGTTCTCTCCATTTTCCCCTGTTCATTTTCCCCTGTTCTCTCACTCGTTCATTTTCCCCTGTTCTCTCTTTTCGTTCATTTTCCCCTGTTTCTCCCTCGTTCATTTCCCCTGTTCTTCATCATTTTCCCCTGTTCTTTCTTTCGTTCATTTTCCCTGTTCTTTCTCTCTTTCGTTCATTTTCCCCCTGTTCTTTCTTAATATTCATTTTCCCCCTGTTCTCTCCTTTTCGTTCATTTTTCCCCTGTTCTCCTTTCGTTCATTTTCCCCTGTTCTCTCACTCGTTCATTTTTCCCCTGTTCTTTCACTCTTTCCCCCGTTCATTTCCCCCCTGTTCTTTCGTTCATTTTCCCCTGTTCTTTCTTGTTCATTTTCCCCTGTTCTTTTCGTTCATTTTCCCCTGTTCTCTCACTTTGTTCATTTCCCCCTGTTCTCTCACTTTTGTTCATTTTCCCCTGTTCTCTCTTTTGTTCATTTTCCCCCTTTCTCTCCTTTTGTTCATTTTTCCCCCTGTTCTCTCTTGTTCATTTTTCCCCTGTTCTCTAGATTTTCATTTTGCCCTGTTCTCTCACTTTTCATTTTGCCCCTGTTCTCTCTTTCGTTCATTTTGCCCCTGTTCTCTCTTTCGTTCATTTTGCCCCTGTTCTCTCTCTCATTTTGTTTTTCTCTCTTTTCGTTCATTTTCTCTGTTCTCTCTTTTCATTTTTTTCTTTCTCTCTTTCTCATTTTTTTTTTTCTCTCTTCTTTCTCTCTCTTTTTGTTCATTTCTCTCTACTTTTCTCTTTTTTGTTCATTAAAATTTCTTTCTCTCTTTTGTTCATTTTCTCTACTTTCTCTCTTTTGTTCATTTTCTCTACTTTCTCTCTTTTCTTTCATTTTTCTTTTTTCTCTCTCTTTTCATTTTCTTCTTTCTCTTTGTTCATTTTTCTCTTTCTCTCTTTTTTTCATTTTCTCTTTTTTTTTTCTCATTTTCTTTCTTTCTCTTTTGTTCATTTCTCTTTTCTTCTTTCATTTTCTCTTCTTCTCTCTTTCTTTTTCTTTTCTTTCTTTTTCTTTCTCTTTCTTTCTCTTTCTCTTCTTTCATTTTCTCTTTTTTTCTCTTTCTTTCTCTTTTTTCTTCTTTCTCTCTTTCATTTCTCTCTTCTCTTTCTTTCTTTCTCTTTTTTTTTTTTCTCTTTCTTTTTTTTTTCTCTTTTTTCTTTCTTTTTCTTTTTCTCTTTTTTCTCTTTTTTTTTTCTCTTTTTTTTCTCTCAAATTTCTCTTTCATTTTTCTTTTTCTCTTTCATTTTTTTTCTTTTTTTTTTTTCTCTTTCATTTTCTTTTCTCTTTTTTTTTTCTTTTTTTCTCTCTTTCTTTCATTTTTCTCTTTTCATTTTTCTCTTTTTTTTTTCTCTTTTTTTTTCTCTTTTTTCTTTCTTTCATTTTCTCTCTTCTTTTTCTCTTTCATTTTTTTTCTCTTTCATTTTCTCTTTTCTTTCTCTTCTTTTTCTCTTTTTTCTTTCATTTTCTCTCTTCTTTTTCTCTTTCATTTTTCTTCTTTTTTCTTTTCTTTTCTCTCATTCTTTTTCTTTTTTCTCTTTCATTTTCTCTTTCCATTTTCTTCTTTCATTTCTCTCTTTCTCTCTTTTTTCTCTCTTCTTTTTCTCTTTTTTTTCTTCTCTCTCTCTTCATTTTTTCTCTCTTCTTTTCATTTTCTCTCTCTCTCTTTCATTTTTTTCTCTCTTTCTTTCATTTTCTCTTCTTTCTCTTCAATCTCTTTCATTTTTTCTTTCTTTCATTTTCTCTTTCTCAATTTTTCATTTTCTCTCTCTCTTTTTTTTCTTTTTTTTTCATTTTCTCTCTTTCATTTTTCTTCATCTTTCTTTTTCTTTTTTTCATTTTTCTCTTTTTTTTTTTCTCTTTTCTCTTTCATTTTCTCTTCTTTCTTTTTTTCATTTTCTCTTTCTTTTTCTCTTTCTCTCTCTTTCATTTTCTCTCTCTCATTTTCATTTTTTTTCTTTAATTTTCTTTTCATTTTCATTCTATCTTTTTCATTTCTTCGTTCATTTTCTCTCTCTCTTCATTTTTCTCTCTCTATTCATTAAAATCTCTCTTTCTCATTTTCATTCTCTCTTCTTTTCATTTCTCTCTCTCTTTTTTTCTCTCTCTCTCTCTCTTTCATTTTTCTCTTTTATTTTCTCTCTTCTTTTTTTTCTCTCTTCTCTTTCATTTTCTCTCTTCTTTTTTTCTTTTTTTCTTTAATTTTCTCTCATTTCTCTTCATTTCTCTTTTCTTTTTCTTTCTTTCTTTCATTTTCTCTTCTTTTTTTTCTTCTTTTTCTCTTCTTTCTCTTTCATTTTTTTTTTCAAAATCATTCTTTATTCTCTTTTTTTTTTTGATTTCTTTTTTTCATTTTTGTTTTTCTTTCTCATTTTTTCTTTTTTTTATTTTCTTTTTCTCTTTTTTTTCTTTTTTTCAAAAATTTCTTTCTTCTCTTTTTCTCCGTTTTTTTTTCTCATTTTTTTTTTTTTTCTCTTTTAATCTTTTTTTTTCGTTTATTTTTCTTTCATTTTCTCTTTCATTTCTCTATCATTCTTTCATTTCATTTCTTTTTTCTTGTTTTTTTTTTTCATCTTTTTTTTTTTTTTTCTTTTTTTTGCTTTTCTCCAAATCTCCTATTTTTTCATTTTTTCTTTTTTTCTTTTTCTTTTTTTTTTTTTTTTTTTTTTCTTTTTTTTTAGAATTTTTCTTTTCTCTTTTTCCTGACTTTTATTTTCTTTGTTTTTTTCTTTCATTCCATCTCTTTTTCTTTCATTTTTTTTTTTCACCTCTTTTTTCATTTTTGTTTCTTTTCTTTTTTTTTTTTATTTCTTTCATTTTTTTTTTATCTTCATTTTTTCCAGAATTTTTCTTTCTTTTCTTAGTTGTTCTTTCTTTTTTTCATTTTAACTTTCTTTTCACTTTTCTTTTTTTTTTTTTTTTTTTTCTTTCTCATTAATTTTCTTTTTTTCTTTCTATAAAAAGATTTTTTTTCTTTCCATTTGTTATTTTCTTTTTTCAAAAATTTAGAAAATTTTTATTTTTTTTTTTTTTTTTCTTTATTCATTTCTTTGTACATCTCTTTCATTTTTGCTTTTTTATTTTTTTCTTTTTTTTTTTTTTTTTTGACCTCGTTTTCATTTAATGTTTTTTTACACCTAACTTTTCTTTTTTATAAATTACCTTTTTTTGTATTACATCTATCAATAGTTTTTTTGTCACTTTTCAATATTTTTGTTTCATTTTATAAATCAAACATTTTAATATTTTGAATATATTTATTTGTTATAATTTTTTCTTTTATATATATATGAATATATGTATAGTTTTAAAATTGTTTATAATTTTTGGCTCACACTCATTTTCCTTTTTTTTTTTCTGTTTTATATTAACTTTTTATTTTTTTCTTTTTTTACTTTCCAAAACTTTTTTAACCAATTTTTTTCTTTTTTTCAAAAAATTTTATTTTATTTAATTTCATTCTTTATGTTTTTTTTTTTTTGGATATATTTCTGATATTTTTTTAAAACTGCTTTTTTTTAAAAACTCATAAAAAAAAATTCAATTTTGTTTTTTTTTTTCTTTCATTTTTGTACATTGAAAAATATTAAAACTTTTTATTTTTTTTTTCGAAACATTTTTTTCCACATTATTTTTTGCTCTAAAATCTCTTTCTTTTTCTTCCATTTTCTTAAATAAAATTTTTCACAAAAAATTCATTTTTTATTCTTTTTTTTATATTTTTTTTTTTTTTTCTTTTTTTTTTTTTTAAATTTTTTTTTATTTTTATTTTTATTTTTTATTTTCAAAATTTTCATTCTCATTCTTTTCCATTTTTATTTCAAATTTTGAGACACATTTTTTATCCATAATATCAAAAAAATCTTCTCCTTTTTTTATCCATTTTAAAATTCAACAGTTATTTTAAAATTTTTTCTTGAGGGGTCTTTTCATTTTTTTGTTTTTCATTTTCTTTTTTTTTTTAATAAAAATTAATTTTAAAAAAAAAATTTTTCATTTTTATTTTTTCCATTTAATAAAGTAGCTAAGAATTATTCTTGATTTTTCTTTAACATTAAAAATGTAAATTTAAAATATTCAAAATTTAAATTCAGACTGAAAATCTCGAATTCTTTTTTTTATATTTCTTTTTTTAAGGAAATAAAAAAATTTATGTTTTAATTTAGAATTTTTTCAAATAAATTTTATGCCAAAAATTTGTTTAAATTTAAAAAATGAATTTCAACAAATGAAAATTTTGATAATTTGAATGAAAAGAATTTTATTTTAAAAATATTTTCATTAAAGTTTGAAAGACAAAAATTCAAAATTTTTTTTACATGAATTCATTTTTTATCTATTCTTCTTTTTATGTTTTTAACAAAATAAATGAATTTTTAATTTTTTACTTTAAATATGAATTTAAAAATTGTGCCAAATTTTTTACATAGGCATACATCAAAGAATTTTAATTCTTATCCTTTATAAATTTTTTCATTTTAATAGGTACAACTAAATTTTATACCGAAATTTCATATTGTTTTTAAAAAAAATTATTTAAAAAAAAAAAAACAAAGCCAAAAATTTCCTTTTTATTTAAATAGAGAAAAATGAATAAAAAATTTAAATTTGTAATTTTTTAAGATTGTCACTTATTTTTTCAAATTATTTTTGAAAGATTAATGAAAATATAAAAAAGAAAACTGATTAGAGGAATTTTTTAAATTTTATATAAAATAGAAATAATAAAATGAATATTATAAATCATAATGTTTTTTAAAATGATAAAAAAATTTATACTTTAAATTTTAATAAGAAAAAAAAATATTTTATCATTCTAACATTTTTGAAAAATAAATTTTTACATAAAAATTCTTGAATAAAAGAAATGTATTACAAAATTTGAAAAATTTTTTTTTAATAATGATTTTTTAATTCAATAGTAATATTTCAAATACCGTGTTTTTGAATTATGTATTATTCAATTTATTTTATATAAAAAAATACATTTTAAAAAGAAATTTATAAAATTTTGAAACTTTCAAAAAATGGGAATTTAAAAATTTTGTTTTTATAAAAAAAAATAAATAAAATTTAAAACTAAAAAAATTTTAAAAATTAAAAATTTTAAATTTTGATTTAAAATTACTTTTATAATTCATATCTTTGAAAAAAACAAAACAAAATAAAAATTTGATAAAAAAAAAGTACAACATAATTGATGCCAAATTATTTTCTTTTTTTGAGTGATTTCATTTTTCCTATTTTATTTTTACCGAAATGAGATAAAATTCAAATTTTTTTTAGTTTTTTTGTTTAAAAAAAGTCTTAGATTGATTTGTTAAAATCCATTGAATGATGAAATTTTTTTATCATTTTCAATTTTGCTGAAATTTTTATTCAAAATTTGCTTGTTTAATCTTAACTATTTTTGATTTTTTTCTTTTTTCGATATTTTCTTCTTTTATTTTTTTCAACAAAAATTTTTCATCTTTTGAAAACTGATCAACCTTGAAAAAAAAAGAAAAAAAAACAAAAAACAAGAAAATTTGCTGACTTTTTTAATTATTTGAACTTAAAATTTAGGATAATTACTAAATTGTTTTATATTTATTTTCAAACTTAAAATAAATAAATCTTTTAAAATAAAAATTTTTTTTTTTAAAAAAACAATATATGATATTAAATTGAATAAAAAAAATTTAAATATCATTCAATTTATTCTTAATCAATTTTTGAAAAGCTGATATTTTTAATAAGCTTTTTTTCAGTATGGTGAAATTATTATTTTCAGCTTTATTTGTATTACTTGAAATAAGAAAAAAACATTTTAAAAAATTCAAATTATCAACAAATTTATTAAAAAATTTGTTGGATTTGATTTTTGGACATTTTTTTCCTAAGCATTTTACATAAAGATGCAAGTTAAGACTTCAAGTTTGACAAATGTAATTTTCCAATTCCCAATCATTACTGATGTCCAAAGGAATATTTTTTAATTATTTTAACTTATAAACCCATTATTTTTTTAAATAAAAATTTTTGGAAAATCTGTGAACAATGAAAAGTGGAAATTCAATCAAAACAAAATGAAAAGTTTTTTACTTTAAACAGGAAAAACATTTCAAATTCATTATGAATTGTTTTATAACATTTTGCTGTACATTTAAATTTTCTCTTATTTAAAAAATTGAAAATAAACTCATCCTTCAAAAAAAATTTATTTAGAATTTAATTAAATGAGGAAACCCGGCATTATTTAATATATTTATTTATAGAGCATTTGACCATAAAAAAAATATTGAAGATACAAAAGGAAAAAGATTTTTATGCTTTTCTTCAATTTTTGTTTTTGTTTGTTTTTGTTTAAATAAAAATTGTTTACAAAAAAAAAAAAATTGTTTTTTTTATAAAAGTTCTTTCAATTTTTTATTAAATAATTTTTTGTCCAATGAAATTCCAAATGATTTTGAATTAAATCTGGAAAAAAAAAAATTATCAAACATTGTAGAATCAAATTTTTTTTTTAAAAAATATGTTAAAAATTTTCATTGAAATTTATTTAAAAAAAAAATTTAAATTGGAATGAAATTCTAAATTCAAAAAAATTTATAGTTTATTTTTTATATATAAATTTGTGAAATTTCTATTATTTTTATAAATATAATGTCAAATAAAATTTTTTTTTTAAAGATTTTAAATAAAATGTCTAGTTTATCATTTGCAAGATTGTTTTCTTTCACACATTAAAAATAATAAAATATTTGTTTTCAATAAAATAAACAGTTGAAAAGATAAAATTTATTTTTCAGATATTCTTGAAAAAAAAAAAACAGTATGACAAAAAAAAAAACATCATATATATATATAAATATACTTATTTTAAACATACCATTTTTATAGAATTAATATAAAAGCCATTTTAAAAATTATCAAAATATTATGAAGATTTTTTTATAAATAGAGCAAACAATGACATTAAATTCTAGATTTCTGTATTTTTCATGCAAATATCAATGGATTTTTAATATTTATAATAAATCACAAATCACTTATAAAAATATATAGTAGATAATCAAAGTTAAATAAATGAAATATAAATAATAATAGATACACACAAATGAAAATGATCCAAAAATATATTAAAAAAATTGAAGGTATTACATGAATTGAAGGTAAAAATTTTAACAAATAATGTTTTTTTTCATAAGTTATTTAAAAAC